TTCAGTAAGCCTCAGGTGGCCTCTGGGAAGAGGGTTTAAGATCTGCTGTGACTACTCCTGCTTTTTGCTTAAGCTACATACATATTCCCCCATACCGCTAACTATGCTGAAAGAAAAATGATGAAGGACATGTAAAGCCCCTATTAAAAATTTAAAAGCTTCTTCTAGTTAGAAGCAGCAAGTTCTCAGAGCTAGTCTTTGATACTAGTCATGCCATAAATTAATCAAATTGATTTCCCCTTCTGATGGAAATAATTATAATGCAACAACATTGGGTTTGAAGTGTGTCACCTCTCCGGTGAAGGAGTTCAGTTCATAGGGTATGATGAAAGGAAAAAAGCCCTTAAGGCAACGGACTATCTGGATCATAGAAATATTCTGCATATTTGTAAGATACATTATTAATAAGCCAGTCTTACACAGTTGCTTACTCAATAAATTTATTGCCACTTTTTCCAAAGCTTCATAGAAAATTGTGGAAGTTGTCTTAACTATCAGCTGCGCGCTCCTGGGCCCTGAGAAAGCTAGCCTTCTTCTGAGCAACACGATCTTTCTTCTGGGCGAGGGACATCTTGGGACAGTTCCATCTGCAATGTAAGCACAGTGTATGATACACCCATGGCAGAAATAAGGAAAGAAGTGGTCAAAGCTGCAGTGCACCAGAACTGTGATTTAGAGTGCTATGCTAGAACACATTCCCACTTTTGTAACACACTTTGTTTCCTCAAAATGATTTAAGGCTGTAGTTATGGCACCACCCAAAAGGCATAGTTAGACTGCAGCAGTTTAATTCCTCAAGAGGTAAGCTCCGTATTTTTTTGTGACTAGGGTACAGACAGTATCAGTACAATATCTGTGCCTTGATTACTTTTCTCCCAGACCCTGGAAAAATCAAAATAGTTTAGTATTGATGAATTAGCCAGCCTGCTCTCACCTAAAGAGAAGCGGCTCTCCCACTGAAAACACTAGTATCTGAAGGACACAAAGAGTTTCAGCTATTCAGGTCACAAGCATACTCCACTTTTATATATATGTATTATATATATATTTGAGAGCTCTTAAGTTTCAAACTCCTGCTGCAAAGGTTAACTCCTGACAGTTATAGAGAACTGCCTGTATCTTAATCTGATCTAAAACACACGTGAGTTAACTAAAATATCTTTAACCATAACAGAGGATGAGTTTTACCTCTTTTTCTTGACTTCTCTCTTAGGTTTCTTTTCATGGACTGGATTATCCCGTATAGCAGCATGGGCTTTTTTATACATTTCTTCCATCTAAAAAAAAAACCAAACCCCAAAACCAAACAATTAAAAATTAAGTTTGCTGTAGTGGTCCAGGTGTAGGATCATAAAAAGGTTTCATCACAATACAGCTTTTAGTTTTGTGTGGTTGTCCTTAAAACATTTTCTTCATACAAAAGCTTGCCACCAAGCATGCTGCAATTCCTACTATCACTGATAAATTTAAATATCCAAACCCACGACGTAGATACAAAATAGAGAAAGTAATTTTATCCTTATTTTACAGTTAGGGAACCAAGGTCCTATGGCAACTACAAACTACTTACAAGTCTCATAAATAGAGGCTAGCATCTTGCAGTTGAAATACTATTCCCTCTGAAGTGTAAACACCTTAGCTTCCCTAACAGTTAAATTTAAAGGCAGTCTAGGAAGCTATTCTACCTAGAATACTTTGTATTTACTTATGAAATAAAAATTATTCCAACTGTCATCAGATATGTAATCTTACCACTTTTCAGACCCTAAGTACACATTACAAAGCTAGTTAGTAGGGGGGGAAGAAGTGCGCAACTATAGCTTAACGAGTCTTGCAAAAATCATAACGGTCCCTGTGTTTTTCCCAAGGATGCCATAATGCTGTTCTATTCCAAAGGCAATTGTCACTCCCTAATGGCACTAATTTTAAGAATACCTTTCCTTTCTTGTGGCTAAGTAAGACCACTAGATACCAGCTGTGAAAATCTTCTAGATATCCAAGAAAAAAAAGTCTAGCTAGTGATGTAAGTCCTGTACTCACTTGGCTGCAATACAAGCTATAAATACTGTTTAGTAAAACAGGTAAGTTGGCATTTAGAATATGTTGTTATTTTTTTTAGTCAAGACTAAGGTAGAAAAAATTAGCAATCAGTTAAGTTTACAAACAAACAAACAAACACACACCACCAAACCAAAATGCCATAGCAATACAGCGATAAAAGAGCGAAGTTAAGTTTTCCATAGCCTCAAAATGGGACTTGAGAATGTTTATTTCAACTTCAGGACCACTAATTGAGGAAACCAACCAACAGTTTTACAGACAGTAAGACAGATCCTCTGAAAGGAGGACTTGAAAGAGGTGAAAGAAGCACCTTGCTAATCTTACATATCTTCTAGTATTTTGTACAAAGTACTCCAAATTTTATAGTAGCACTGAAATAAGATGTATTACACTCCATAGTTTTGAGAGATGCTAGCTTCTCCAATAGAGCCAGCTTGAGCAATTCTGTGTTCACCTGGCACCTAGAAATATCTATAGGGTCACACAAATCATAAACCAGATTTGACCCAGAGCACATATAGCTGCAGAAGTGACAGGCTGTGGTGCAGGATTAGGAACGAGTAGATAGCATGTATAGAGACTTCACATTAATTGTTGTATCATAACCAAAACAAAAGTGGTCCATCTTAGAATGCCATCCTGTAAGCTTATAGGCAGAATGTGAAGATTCACAGCAGGAAAAAAGATCACTTTCAAAAGATCTATGATATACTGCAGAGCTCTTAACAAAGGAAAAATATTTTCCTTGCATGGATAAGATACAACATGAATCATGTTATT